GGGGGGGAGGCTGAAAAAAAAAAAAAAGGAGGGGGGGGGAAGAAGGGGGAGGAGGAGAAAGGGGAGGTTAATCCGGGTTTAATGCTATGATGCAGTCACAGGACCAGGGCTAGGCTGATTGTGTTATCTCTCCCCAACATTTGGGTCTCCCATATTTCACCCAGCCAAATAGCTGCGAGAAAAAAGTGCGTATGGAGGCACTCCTGACGCCTCAGGAAAATATGTTATTAATATCTAAATAACTTCCCAATACTGTCTCTAAATCTCCCCTTCGCCACTCCAGATGATGAATTCGTTTGAAGTGTTCTCCCGTCTCATCTCTTCAGTGTCTCTCCCCCCCTCCGCCTTTTTTTCCCCTTATAACCAGGCTTATTTCAACCCGGTAAATATCTAATTCCTTTAACCGCGCTGCACACGCGGCTCTCCCCTCTCTTACGCACAATTCCCATTTAGAGAGATCTGTATAGAGAGAAAGAGCAAGCGCTAGAGAATAAAGCCCAACCTTGCCCTAAACTTGTTCAAAACGATGGTAATGGGGGGGTGTTAAGAGCGTTTTGGGGGGGAGATCCCTCGTTTTCGGGACACACCTGCACCCGCCGCCTCCCTCTCGCTCCCCCAGTCCCTCCCGTTCCCCCTCCCGCTCCATCCCTGGCCGCATCCACCCAATTACGGGCCCAGACGCCCCCCCGTCTCCTCCCGGCCCCCCCGTCCCCGCGCTCCCGGCGCTCGGCCCTGCCTGTCCCGGCCTTCACGGCAGGAATAGGCACCTGGGCGAGACACACTGAGATGCTCATGTATTTTTTTTTCCGGTCTGGAATTAGACCTGTCCTTCCCATCCACTTCCAAAAGGAAATAAAGAGGGATGAAAAAAAAAAGAAAGGGAAGCGAACAAACCACAAAGAACTCCCTTACCCCGCGGTGTGGGGCTCTAGCGCGGAACCTCCTTCCCCGCATCCCCAGTTTCGCTCGTTTCTCTTGTTTTTCTCCCCACACGGCGCCTCGTGTTGGGTTGCGCCGTGGCCGTGTCCCCCCCAGCCCTGTCTCGTCCCTGTCACGGGTCCCTCGCCGCGTCCCCCGCGCGCCTCTGTCGCCCCCTCCGCACTCCTCGTGGTCCCTGTTGGTCCGCGCCGCTTTTCGGGGGGCCGCCGGGCGCCCCCCCCGCCCCGGGAATTGCTTGACACGAGCGCGGCTCCCTCCTGCCCCCCGTTCTCCGCGCTGCTCCGCGCGGAGCGCTCGCAAATCCCGCCTGGGCTCCGTTTGATTAGATTGCCAGCCCCGCGTAATCCCTTCATTTGATGAAGTGTCTCTCCCCCCAGCCCCCCCACGCCTCCCTCCTAAACACACATTGACAGAGAAGGCGCTTGTTGGTTTTAACTCGAGATTGTTTGCTGATAAACCGCCTTGATACCCCCCTCCCCGCGCCCTGCGCTGTCCCCAGCGATGGGGACACAAGCCCCTTTCCAGGTGTGTGACCACAACCCGGGCGGGGGGGAGAAAGGGGACGGGAGGTTGTTTTAGTGCCACCCCTCCCCGACGCGGCCCCAATGGCTCCCTATACACCCCCCCTCCGGGAAATAAATAACAACAATAAATACAGAAATAGATAGATACGGGAGTGGCAACCAGCAAATTAAATTGGAAGCGGCGGGACATTCCTCCCCCCACCACCCTTCCCGCTGCTGTTCGCACCTGGGCACCTTTCCCTCTCACCACCCCTAATGGATAATGATGATGATGATGATAATAATAGCTATCCTTTGCCATTCCCACATTTCCCGACCTTGCCACCCCGCGCGATATTCACCCGCGCGGGCGGGTGTTTTTCCGCCGCTTCCTGCGCTCGGCCGGGGAAAACGCGCAGTCCCACGCGTGGGAACCCGCCGGGCTGCGGTTTAAGCTGGACTTAACCCCCCACCCCTCCCCAAATCCCCCTTTGGGCACGTTTTTCCCCCAAACCCTCTCAGATTTGGGAAAGGAAGGGGGGGGGGGTCCGAATCCCCCCCCAACGCAATCCACGCGCACCCTGCCCGTTCCGGGGGGAGCGGGGCGGGAGGAGGGAAAAAGGCAGCCTCCCCCCACCCCCCCACGCGTGACCCTCCCTAATAAACCCCAGCAGCCACAACAAATAACAACAACCCCAATAATAACAATAATAATAATAATAATAACTCGCTCTTAACAAGGATAAGGAGGGGAAAAAAATAAATAAAGTGGAGCCTCATGAATATACGCCCAGGGCGAGCCGGAGTGAAGCCGTTTAAAGATGAAAGTGCAAAGAAATAAAGGCTCAATTTAATCTGCCTTAAAACCCTTCAACTTAACGTTTGTGCTTGGAACTCAGAGAGTGAGTACTGATTGGGGATAAATACATTTCTTAGCATGCCTTGGAGCTATTACACCCTTCTCCAACACAGCTCCCTATTCAAGAGCCACAGTTTTCATTACCAGCTCTAATAAGTCTTAACATTATTAAATGCCAAGCAGACGATAGAAGGAACCAGGCGCGGGGTGGAAGCTTCCTTTGACGCTTAAAAAGAGCGAGCGTTTAGGGCTGGCTTCCCCCGGCTCCCCGCGAGGAGCCCCCGAAACGGAGCCCATTCGGCAGGAAAAAAACACCCCATGTGTCGCCCCCCGCATGTGTCGCCCCCCGCACACCCTTTTCTCCCTTTCTCTCCTCTCCCCCCATCCAAAGAAAAAAAAATAAATTAAAGGCGGCGCAGTCGGAGGTGGCGCGGGGCTGCCGCGCGGACGGGACAAGTGTGAGCGGCGCTGGGGGGGTGTCATTCCCTCGCGCCCCCCCGCCCCGGCGCTCTGAGCGCTTTACAACTTAACGGAGGTCATTAACTATCTTAATGGGGGCGTTAAAACTTCTGCCGGGGTCAAAATGCCCATCCTTAGGGTGGTTTTCGCTGCCTTTTGAGGGGGAAATGGCACCAGACTGCGGCGAGCGCCCGAACGGCACCAGGACCCGCTTCTCCCCTTGCCGCCCGCTCCCGCTGCTGCTTTTCACCCCCTCCAAAGACTTCGGAGCCTTTTTTCCCCCACCTCCTTTTCTTATCCACACGCCGGGACAGAATTTTGGAGAAGAAAAGGAAATAAAAATACCCCCAAAACGGCGATTTCTCGCCCGGGATGGGGGATGGGGAGCGCTCGCTTTAAAGCGCCTTCGGGACGCCCTGGGCACTCGCGTTGCCCGTGGTGTTATCCGGGGTGTCTCCCCGATGGCCCCGCGCTTCTGCGGGTTATTAAGGACCAAAAACCCCGCGACTCCATCCATTTTCGGTTTTTTTTTGTTTTAAATTTTCTTTTTTTTTTTTGGGGGGGGGGGACAGCGTAGAAAGGACGCGCAAGGGAGGGGGGCAAAAATAAGAGGAGTCATTTTTACACTTAAAATAATAACATTTTTTTTTCTCCGAGCGCCGAACCCTACATAAAATAAAAGCAGAAAAAAATTACAAAATACCCCCCCACGGGAAAAAAAAAAAAACAAAATCCCAACCTGATGCTGGGGGGGGGGCGGCTGTTTTGGGGCCACAATGGCCCCGATTTGCAAAGCAGCGCTGCCCGCTCCCGAATCACAAGCACCATTTTGCCACGTCCAACGGCTCTCCTTTTTTCCCAACAGACGGTCCGATAATATTACAAAACTATCTAACAGCAGGGAGTTTTGAATAATTTATCTCCCTTTCTTCCCTTCCTCGGCCCTTTGTGCAAACTTTTTCTCCTCCTCGCCCATTTTTGAATGAGAATAGACAAGCCCTCCCTCCCCCAACCCTTTACTCCATTTTTAAGTCAGCTTTGGGTTCCCCCCCCTCTTTTTTTTTCTACTTTTTTTTTTCTCTTTTTTTCCCCCCTTCCACTGTTTGCTTTTGTAGGCAGGAATCTTTTTTTGCTTATAAAGCTTCAATGGCCTCGAAGGTCTTTGTAAAGTGAAGTTCATCTTCAAGGTTGGAAGGGGGGAAAAAACGGGGAGGGGGAATCGGACCCTTAACCCCCCCGGTCTTTGTGCACCTTCATCCGCAGCCTCAGGTTTGCGGGGACACCGGACGGCTTCTCGCTGCCCCCTCCCCCGCCATCCAAAAAACCCTCCCCAAATCACGGCGCTTCCTATCGCGACTCGCTCGCGATGCTCTGGAGCGAGAGAAGCTTTGCGGGCGCGGCGGGGGGCGAAAATTGGGTCCGGATCTGGCCCTGCTCCGGACACGGCCCTTGCGCCTCTCTCCATATATATATACATATATATATATATACTCCTCTCCAATTCCGCGGCTCGACACCGACATCGGCGCAAATATCCGAAAATCCACCCCCGAAATAATATTTTTTAATCAAAGCACAAAAAAGGACAATCCTGAACAATCGCCATTTTGCCTTTTTTTTTTTCCATCCAGGGAAAGCCCGGTCCTTCCCCAGCACTTCTAAATTCGCCCATTCGCCCTGTCCCCTCAGAAAAGCAGCGCCCGCTCCGTCAGCGCGGGGCGGTAAATGACCGT